TTATTACACAATTGCCCTCGCTCGGAGGGTCTGAATAAATATTACAATCTACCTTTTGAACTGCTGTTGTGCTGAGCTGTTTGAACCTCTGTTTTGGGCTGTTTGAACTCCTGATTTAATCAAATATTAAATACATTCTAACAACTCAACTCTCCTTAGCTTCTCTATATATAGAGATTACAATGCAAGAGTAATTGAGCTGGCTGCTAGCCCATTTCGGTGGCTTTCCAGATTGAGGCTTCATGGCCTCATGGCCTCATGGCCAACTCACATGGCCTCATGGCTTCCCCACCATGTAGCTGGCTGCTACTTTCCTTCACATGGCCAGAATCTGTAGCCAACTCAACAAATCTCCACCTTGGCGAGGATTCTCTTATCCAACATAGTGATCGATCAACACTGCCATGCACCCGAAGGTGCTTAGTTCCGAGAGATGTTGACCAAGTCCAAACAATGTTGGAACTTGATCCCAGAAACTACCTTTGTGAGCATATCGGCCGGATTATCTGCAGTACCAATCTTTTGAAGCAGAATATCCCCTTCATTCACAATTTCTCTGATGAAATGGAAACGGACATCAATGTGCTTGGTGCGGGCATGATGAACCTGGTTCTTTGCCAAACAAATGGCACTCTGACTGTCACAAAACACCTCAACGTGCTTCTGAACAATTCCCAAGTCTTCAATCAATCCATGTAGCCAAATAGCTTCCTTAAAGGCTTCCGTTACTGCCATGTACTCTGCCTCTGTAGTAGACAAAGCCAACGTTGAGTGAAGCGTTGACCTCCAACTTACCGGCCCTTTAGCAAGCGTAAATAAATACCCTGTTGTTGACCGGCGTTTGTCTAAGTCACCAGCATAATCTGAGTCCACATATCCTTCCAAGACTGCTTCGTTGGGAGTTGGTGCAACTTCCAAAAGGCAAGAAAGCAATTGGGTGTAAGTGGGTTTACACCAAGAAGGAAGGCATTCCAGGCAGAGACAACATCAGATTCAAAGCTAGATTGGTAGCTAAAGGCTATGCTCAGAAGGAAGGAATAGACTACAATGAGGTATTCTCACCTGTTGTGAAGCACACGTCTATTCGCATCTTGTTAGCTTTGGTTGCACAGTTTGATCTCGAGCTCGCCCAACTCGACGTCAAAACTGCCTTCTTACATGGAGATCTTGAAGAGGAGATATACATGTCCCAGCCAGATGGTTTCAAAATTGCTGGAAAAGAGAATTGGGCCTGTAAGCTGAACAAATCGTTGTACGGATTGAAGCAATCCCCGAGACAGTGGTACAAGCGATTTGATCGGTTCATGATGGAGACAGAATACACAAGAAGTCAATTTGATCATTGTGTATATTTCCGTAAGCTTCCCGACGGTTCCTTCATCTATTTGCTCTTATATGTAGATGATATGCTGATTGCATCTACGAGCAAGGTGGAGATTGACAAACTCAAGGCACAGTTAGCAAGGGAGTTTGAAATGAAGGATTTGGGAGAAGCAAAGAAAGTTCTTGGCATGGAGATCAAGAGAGACAGGAAGAAGGGCACGGTTTGTCTGACACAAACCCAGTATCTGAAAAAGGTGTTAGACAGATTTGGCATCAATGGGAAAACCAAAGCTGTAAGTACACCATTGGCCCCTCATTTCAAGCTTAGTGCTTCGTTGTCTCCACGCACAGAAGAAGAACGGAAGCATATGGCACAGGTTCCATATGCAAATGCAGTTGGTGCATTAATGTATGCTCTGGTTTGTACACGGCCTGACATCTCGCATGCTGTGAGTATGGTAAGCAGGTATATGCATGATCCAGGAAAAGATCACTGGCAGGCAGTGAAATGGATCCTAAGGTACATACATGGCACAGTCAATCTGGGATTGAAGTTCGAGAGAGATAACCGACTCGGGCAGAATTTGGAAGAATATGTGGACTCAGATTATGCTGGTGACTTAGACAAACGCCGGTCAACAACAGAGTATTTATTTACGCTTGCTAAAGGGCCAGTAAGTTGGAGGTCAACGCTTCAGTCAACGGTGGCTTTGTCTACTACAGAGGCAGAGTACATGGCAGTGACGGAAGCCTTTAAAGAAGCTATTTGGCTACATGGGTTGATTGAAGACTTGGGAATTGTTCAGAAGCACATTGAGGTGTTTTGTGACAGTCAGAGTGCCATTTGTTTGACAAAGAACCAGGTTCATCATGTCCGCACCAAGCACATTGATGTCCGTTTCCATTTCATCCGAGAAATTGTGAATGAAGGGGATATTCTGCTTCAAAAGATTGGTACTGTAGATAATCCGGCCGATATGCTCACAAAGGTAGTTTCTGGGATCAAGTTCCAACATTGTTTGGACATGGTCAACATCTCTCGGAACTGAGCACCTTCGGGTGCATGGCAGTGTTGATCAATCACTATGTTGGATAAGAGAATCCTCGCCAAGGTGGAGATTTGTTGAATATTGGCTACAGATTCTGGAGGTCACCCCATGTGAAAGGGGTGATCCTCATGTCAACAATGGAAGGCAACCAACCAAGGCAACCAACCAAGTCAAGCTTGGTGGCCACCAACCATGTCAAAAGTCAAGAATGAAGGCTCTCCCACCTACTCCTTTGTGTATAAATAGAGACGGGAGGGAGATGTAATCTCTATATATAGAGAAGCTAAGGAGAGTTGAGAGGTATAGCTGAGAGGTGTGAGCTTTTAGAGAGCAAAGAGAGAGAGAGAATTACAGAGAGTGTTGTAATTCTTACCATTTTGTTCAATATAGTGAATCCGCTGCCCGTGGACGTAGGCGACTTGCCGAACCACGTTAAATCTTGTGTGTTATTGCTTGTTTGAGTTCCCTGGTGTGCCCCCGATCCGCAACAGTTTTTCCCTGCCTTCGAAATAATTGAAGCTAAAAAAGCCATTGCTTTACATTTCTACAATTTTTTTTACTTTGATTGGATCTCTAAGGAAAATAATTATGGAGATTAGTTGCACCCAATTTAGTAAATGGACTGAGAATTCAAGGTAAGTCTAAGTCTTCAAATCCTTGGGACATCAACTTAAGCGCATCACTTTGCAATAGCATGCCTATGAAGGGACATTATGCCCCTTCCACCATCAGGCATTGGTTGGGTCAGAATTTGAATAAATTGTGCACCATAGAAGGCCCTCTACGAATTCTATTTATTGTTGCCATCACTTTCAGCCACAAAGTGATGTTTCACATTAGTGTTACAGCCTACAGGGTAAGAAATGCCATCAAAAGTATTTCTTATTCTACACAGTTTTATGTGTTGGGCAAGTCAAATAGGTTGTCACTCGTCAGTAAAGGAGTTGGATCTTCCAATGTTATGTAACGCTATTTAATTATGTGCAACTGAGAATTTAGAAGAATCATTGTCACCCACATTTTTATTAGTTTACAATACAATAAAGTCATTCTAGGCTGTAGTAAATAATTGGGCCTTTTGATGTCTTGCAGAGAGATGCTCGGGTAACATGCTCTTTGTTCTCCATCACCTATAAACCACCAGAATAGTTCTTTGGACATAGCTCTCTTTACAACAGTTGGGCTTATCGGGAAAGAAATGGCACTCTTTGATAAAATTTCCTTCAATCATTTTTCTTTGTTTTTTTTCCAAGTGGATTTTCATACTAAGCAGGTTTTGGGGTATAAAATTTGCTCCTTTCTTTTTAAAGTGTGAATTTTTCAATTTGTTCTATTAAGGAAAAGAGCACAGGTTCATACAATAAACCATAAATTGGTGCCTGTACCTATTTAAGACACTGTATATGTACAGAATTGTTTTCTTTCTTTCAGTGTGTGCATATGTAAGCGAATGCTAGGCAATGGTTAGATATTAACAAGTGAAGATGGGTTTTAAACCAGACTTCAACTTTCCGGGTATAAAACATTGAATTTAAGATGTTTGTAACATCCTCTTTTTTCTATAAAAATGGAAAATTGCAGTCAACAAATGGAATTGGAAAGTTCAAAATAGCAAAGTATAACAGATAGTCACCATTATGCATAACGAAAAACACAGAGGACTTAAAGCAATTAATTCTCAAAATCCAAGATAACAAAATTAAACAAGAGCACCTAGATAGAGAAACTTCATGAGCAGTAAAGCAACTTGCTCAACAATTATCACAAAAACCTCATTAATATTGCATGATATATATTTTAGTAAGCTGGACCTCACCTACAGCCTACATGGTTAGCCTTCCAGGTCAATTTTGCTTTGACATAACTCACTTTTAATTTGAGTTGCACAAACACAAGAATTGATGGATTCATGCAACTCAGTGAAAAATTATTGGACAGATAGGCTTATAAAGGATCTGAAACTAGATCTCACCCTGTTTTCAGATACATGGTACATGTTTATATACATAATATTAGCTTTATGTGATTTACTGTATCTAAATGTGTTGAATTTAACACACAGTAGAGTTACAAGCATAGTCCACAACTCTCAATAATCAATAGTGACCACCTTTTACGAGAGAGAAAATCATAGAAAAAAGATACCTGGCAATGATCATCTGTGAGTTCCTGGGAAGAGTGTATTATCTGATGCAGATCGGTATCCATAAGTTCATATGCAATATACACATCATTGAACTCATCTTTCTCTGGTGGACGTATGATATCCTTAATTTTAATAACCTGCACAATAGTAGTCTGTTAAATCATTTCAAACTCATAGCAGAACATAAAAGCATCCAGAAAATAAGGGTCTGACATAATTGATCATGTTTTAAAATAGAAACTAAACACAAACATTGGCATGAAATGCAGCAACTTATTATTGCATAGTTTGCAGAGGATCTGTAGAAGATATGTGACCCCAAACAACTAAGCAAGCACTATAATTTATGTAAAGTTGTGATTACATTCTCATGATCCATATGGCAAAGCAGTTTGATTTCGCGTAGGGTTCTTTTAGCATCAATCCTGTTGTCAAATGCATTTGCAATTCTCTTGATTGCAACCTCTTCCTTTGTCTCGGAATTTGTTGCACAGCTGCAAGAAGGAAATAAATTTAACCCACACCCAGCTATAAGTAAAATAGAGAGAAAAGGAGATTTGGAAATATTGAGGCAGAAACATGTTGGGTGTGATGCATATAAACACTGACCATTAGAAGCGTATGTCTCTGCAACAAATAACACAATTCCTTGCTTCTTAAATAGGTAATACGCTTCAAAATCACACTCACCGGTTGTAGTATTGACCAATGGATTAGATTTAAGTATGCAACTTAAACAAAACTTATAAAGGTATTGGTTGAAAAAGGTCAAGCACAACCATTGTATACTAAGAAGAGCTATTTTGATTTAACTTGCTATATCATCTTTAAGTAGAGTTATAATGAGATAACTGAATGAGTAACCTTTATCTTTTTAAACCAATATGTTAGCATTATATCAAATCGCATTTCAAATAGGCATTTGAAACTTGGAAGTGAAAATAGCGTCATTGCATTTGAAGAAATAAAGATGTATTATTTATTGATGTGTATTGATTACAAGATTGCTGTGTATATTGATGTTTTGTTATGTTTACAATGATCAAATATATAGAAGAGAAGAAGGTAGTAGGTGAAGTGGTAGGGGATGAAGTGGAGGTGGTAGTGGTAGGTTAGGTGAGGAGGTGAGTGTGTGTGGTAGGTAGTAGTGGGTTAGGTTTAGTGGGTTTAACAGCCCCCCTCAAACTCAAGGAGGTTAGACACAAACCAACTTGAGTTTGGAGAGAGTTACAAAACAGAAAAATAAACTGATAAATAAAATAAAACAAGATAGGAGACACGGTATGGTCGTGTCAGACCGTTGTAGCAGACAGTTTACGGGGTCATGTCGGACCGTTGAAGAAGACAATTTACGAGGTCATGTCGGACCGATGTAGCAGGACAGTTTACGAGGTCACACTGTGTGGTCGTGTCAGATGTAGAAGACAGTTTACGGGGTCATGTCGGACCGTTGTAGCAGGACAGTTTACGGGGTCATGTCGGACCGTTGAAGCAGACACTGTGTGATCGTGTCAGACCGATGTAGCAGACAGTTTATGGGGTCATGTCGGACCGTTGTAGCAGGACAGTTTACGGGGTCATGTCGGACCGATGTAGCAGGACAGTTTACGGGTCATGTCAGACCGATGTAGAAGACAGTTTATGGGGTCATGTCAGACCGATGTAGAAGACAGTTTATGGGGTCATGTCAGACCGATGTAGAAGACAGTTTATGGGGTCATGTCAGACCGATGTAGAAGACAGTTTATGGGGTCATGTCAGACCGATGTAGAAGACAGTTTATGGGGTCATGTCAGACCGATGTAGAAGACAGTTTATGGGGTCATGTCAGACCGATGTAGAAGACAGTTTATGGGGTCATGTCAGACCGATGTAGAAGACAGTTTATGGGGTCATGTCAGACCGATGTAGAAGACAGTTTATGGGGTCATGTCAGACCGATGTAGAAGACAGTTTATGGGGTCATGTCAGACCGATGTAGAAGACAGTTTATGGGGTCATGTCAGACCGATGTAGAAGACAGTTTATGGGGTCATGTCAGACCGATGTAGAAGACAGTTTAACTTCACCGACCCATTTTCTTTCTTTCTTGTTTTAGTGGCCATTTTGTTTGTCTAATTAGAAGAAAATAAATGAGAAATAAAAGCATTGTGCGTGTTTGGAAAATTGTTCCTTTAATAGGTTATTTTAATTTTTAATTATTTTAGTAAGTTAAAATTTTTATATTTAGAAAAATAATTAAATTTTTTTATAGTTAGATATAATATTTGTGAGAGAAAAAATTAAATAATTATACATTTGATGTGATATTTTATCTTATTAATTATTTTAACAATGCTAGAGGGTCACAATTTTTGTGGCCACAATGGCTCACAACTGCCAAAATGATGTCGTTTTGAGTGTAAAATATGCCAAAACGACGTCGTTTTGACAATTTTGAGTCATTGTGGCCACAAAAATTGTGACCCTCAACCATTTTCCTAATTATTTTAATCTAATTGTAAATTTGTAAGGTGCAAATAGCATTTGTAGGGTGCAAGATATTTTTTATTTATTTGATATTCTACTTTAAAATTATCTCTGTTTTTTTTTGTATTTGCTTGTTATTTATTTCTTTTTCAATGGGCAAGTGGAGCTCTGTCCAGCTCCAAATCCTACTCCAACTTTTGGTATTATATGGCAACTTGAAATTTTAGTCAAAAATTATTTTACGTTATCATATTATTTTTTTTATATATTTTTTTATTTGATGCCAGAATGACAAAATTAGAAAGAATAGTTGAACTGTTGACTGAGACCTTGAGGTTACAACAGAACTAACTGCTTCCACCTCCTCCAATTCAACCCGAGCAGAATATTAATGAGGATATAATTACCTTAACACAGAAGTTCAGCAAAATGAAACCACCATCCTTTCAGGGAGGCCTTGAACCATTAAAGGTCGAAGCATGGGTGCTAGAAATAGAGAAATTGTTCAAGGTATTTCCGTGTTCTGAAGCACATAAGGTGCTATTGGCTACCTTTACTTTGCAAGAGGAAGCTAGACGGTGGTGGATGCTCATCCGTGACACCGACATTGTTATGACTTGGGCTCAGTTTAAGGGAACCTTCTTTGAGAAATACTTCCCTCAGTGTGTCAGGGATCGCAAGGTGACTGAGTTTGAACAGTTAAAGCAGGGTACCATGTCAGTAGCAGAGTATGAATCAAAGTTTACCGAGCTCGCTAGATATGCACCACACATGGTGGACACTGATTACAAAAAGGCCAGGAAGTTTGAAGGCGGCCTTAATGTAAAGATACTTGACAGAATCAATGTGCTGAAATTACTGAAATATGTAGATGTTCTTGACCGAGCAATAATGGCCGAGTCAAATATCGAAGCATTGAAACAGACTGAAACACCAGCAACTGAATGGCGTGGTAAGAGACAGGCTTTTAAGTTTAAGAAAGGCCGAAATAACTCACTGAACAAAAAGCAAAATACAGGGTCAACGACCAATTCTAGTCACGGAAGTGGTTCCGTACCACCCTGCTCCGAATGTGGGAAAAGACATAAAGGGGTGTGTTATAAAATTTCTAGTGCCTGTTACAGGTGTGGCAAGATAGGCCATATGGTTAAAGATTGCCCTTCCACATCTCAAGGCAATAGTAAAGTTGCAACTAGCGCCGCAGTATCAACTGCTCTACCGAAACCCAACCCCAAAGCTACTAGAAAAAAGCCTATAAGGCAAGGCCAAGTGTTCGCACTTGTACCGGGAGATGTGCAGAACACCGAGACCGTTGTGTCAGGTATACTCTCAATTTGTGCTCAAAATGCTTATGTTCTGATTGATTCGGGGTCTACACATTCATATGTCTCGCATGCTTTTTCGCGAAAACTAGATAGACAACTGGAACCCGTGAATTATTTGTTAGCTGTATCTTCACCTGTTGGGGAATCCATGACTTGTGCTTATATGTACCCTGCATATGAAATTATTGTTGGAGATGTGCATTTGTATATTGATTTACTGCCTCTAAATATCGATCATTTCGATGTGATATTGGGAATGAACTGGTTAACAAAGTATCATGCTACCATAGACTGTGTAACAAAACAAATTGTTTTCCATCCACCTGGATTGCCTGAATTTGTATTTAACGGAGTTGGAGTAGTACCTCCCCCATACCTGATTTCATCCATAAAAGCATTTAAACTAGTTAGAAATGGGTGTAAAAGGTATCTATGTTGTATATTAACTGTACCTACTGATACTAAAGCTAATGTGGACAGTATTCCTATAGTCAGAGAATTTTCAGATGTTTTTCCAGATGATTTTCCAGGGGATTTGATTGACAAGGACATTAAGTTCACTATTGATGTGATTTCGGGTACACAGCCAGTTTCCAAAGCTCCGTACAGAATGGCACCTACCGAACTGAAAGTTCAGCTACAGGAACTGTTAGATAAGAAGTTCATCAGGTCCAGTACTTCACTGTGGGGTGCTCCAGTTTTGTTTTTGAAAAAGAAAGACGGCTCCTTGAGACTCTGCATTGAATACCGTGAGCTGAACAAAGTAACAGTGAAAAACAAATATCCATGGCCTCGAATTGATGATTTGTTTGACCAGTTATAGGGTGCCCAGGTGTTCTCTAAAATTGACCTTAGATCCGGATACCACCAGTTAAAAGTCAAACCAGAGGACATTGAAAAGACTGCCTTTCGAACGAGGTATGGACATTACGAATTCCTTGTTATGCCTTTCGGAGTTACCAATGCACCTGCCGCATTTATGCACCTTATGAACAGAATTTTTAAACCTTTCCTCGATGAATTTGTAGTTGTGTTCATAGATAACATTTTGATTTATTCCAAAAGTACGGAAGAACATGAATATCATTTGAACATTGCCTTACAAATCTTAAGAGAACAGAAACTGTATGTAAAACTAACGAAGTGTGAATTTTGGCTAGACAATGTAATGTTTTTGGGACATGTGATCACTAAGGATGACATTTCAGTTGACCCACAGAAGATTGAAACAGTAGTGAATTGACCCAGACCGTCTAATGTTACTGAAGTCAGAAGCTTTCTAGGCTTAGCCGGGTACTACAGTAGGTTTGTAAAAGATTTCTCCAAAATTGCCCTACCATTGACTCAGTTGACTCAAAATGGGATACCATTTGACTGGACCGATCAGAGAGAATTAGTCTTTCAAGAGTTAAAGACTCGACTTGTGACTGCACCGATTCTTACCCTACCATCAGGTATGGATGGTTTTACTATATTTAGTGATACTTCTTATAAAGGCTTGGGATGTGTCTTAATGCAGAATGGTAAAGTTATTGCATATGCTTCCTGACAACTGAGACCACATGAGAAAAATTATCCGACCCATGACTTAGAACTTGCTGCAGTAGTGTTTGCATTGAAAATCTGGCGTCACTACCTTTATGGGGCAACATGTGAAGTGTATACAGATCACAAGAGCTTGAAATATTTCTTCACACAGAAAGAATTGAACATGAGGCAGCGGAGAT